TAAATAAGAAGTGTTTGCCATAATTTTCTTACCATATTTGGTTTTCCTATTTGTTGAAGGAAAAGACAATATAATTACCTTAATTGTGTTTTCCTTTTTGTAGAAGAAAATTGTAATTCTCCTATATTTGGCTAGTCCTTTTTCTCGTAGGAAAAAGTTTGGAGTTCTATAAATTGAAGATCCGTCATTCTCATTCAGTAGCATCCACAATGTAGCCATAGGGGCTTGAGAGTAGTGTTTAGGGGGAGAACTTTACGGGACAAGTGTTAGTGTGTCACTTGTGTTTGCCTCTTCGTGAGGTTGTTCTCTCGATATTTTGTTCTCTTTTTTATATAGTGGATTGCCCATCTTCGCTATGGATGTAGGTCAGTTGACCGAACCACGTTAAATGTTTGTGTCTCTTTTGTAGATTTCTCTTTTGTTGTCGGACTTATTGTCGTTCAAGTCTGCTTTGCTAGCTTCCGCATGACACCTGATTATTTCGGTCCTAACAAGTGGTATCAGAGTGAGGTTCATGACAGGTTCATCTTGGCGGGTTCAGTTCTAGCCGCAACATATTTGACGATAATCGTGATTTTTGTCTGAGAAATTTGACCGGTGTGCTACGCACATTGAGACAAACTTTGTGGTGAAGATTTGGAGATGCAACCTGTTGAAGGCTATGTGAAGAATGTGGATCAAGTTTATTTTGTTAGAAAATTCCGGCCAAGGGGGAGAATAGTTAGGTGTTTGCCATAATTTTCTTACCATATTTGGTTTTCCTATTTGTTGAAGGAAAGGACAATATAATTACCTCAATTGGGTTTTCCTTTTTGTAGAAGGAAATTATAATTCTCCTATACTTGACTAGTCCTTTTTATTGTAGGAAAAAGGTAACAAGAAAAAGGTTTGGAGTTCTATAAATTGAAGATCCGTCCTTCTCATTCAGTAGCATCCACAATGTAGCCATAGGGACTTGAGAGCAGTGTTTAGGGGGAGAACTTTACGGGACAAGTATTAGTGTGTCACTTGTGTTTGCCTCTTCGTGAGTTTGTTCTCTCGATATTTTGTACTCTTTTTTATATAGTGAATTGCTCATCTCCGTTGTGGACGTAGGTCATTGACCGGACCACGTTAAATGTTTGTGTCTCTTTTGGTATGTTTCTCCATTGTTGTATGATTTATCGTCGTTCAAGGTTTGCTTTGCTAGCTTCCGTATGACACCTAATTTTTACGGTCCTAACAGAAACCAATGTCTCTTCTGTTTAAAGGAAATTTTCTCTTTTCTATTTAAAGTGGTTGTATTTCCATGTCATTGTTACTATGGACAAAGTGAATTTACTTCATTTCTTACTCAACTGCTTGTACCAAATTTTTGCATTGTCCCAAACTATTGGCTCATTGCTCAGTGTCAGAAGCGGATCCAGAATTTATGCTTTCTTCTGCTCGGTCAGAGACTAATATTCAAGGGGAAGATTCTTGCGTACTACTGTAAACTTACCAAGTGAGCATATAAATGAGCATATGCAAAAGAAATTAAAAAGAGCACATTTTGCTTGCATTATTGTTCTTTCACTTGCATCTTATTACGAAATTCATGTCATGAAAATCAAATGGAAATGCTATAGGGTACACCTTTTCCAGTAACACCAGGTTCAGAAAATGGTTTCAACAGTTCATATGGCACAACTCCAGCTCCATTTCTGTTCATCAAATTGCAATCAGCATTTCTACCATCAATAATCCCTTCAAGTTCCTTTAATCTTCCAGAAAATTTTTCGAACGCCGCGTTAATCACAGGATCCTCTGCCCAGTAAGGTTCCATGTTCTCTCCAACATATTCTTCATCTGGAGAATGATTTGATAAAACATCCAAAACTGCCATGACTGTTGTTGCCTGGATTTGTGAAGGGAAGCATTCTAATAGTGCATCCTCAGGTTTTTTCAAGAAATTCTCCCATTCTTCATCAGTTGGATCCTCAGTTGGCATTTTTGCTCTAGCTGTTGTTGGCCTATTTGGGAAGTAGCCTACACATGCAATAGCAAAGTCAATATTCTATGAAGTGAAGACAACATAAATTCAATAAGTACAAAATGAAACTTCAATTTTATCAAATTTGGAGAAAGTGGATGGGGGTGATTACAATGACAATGTAAAGATTTTTATACTATCAGTGTAGTTTTAACTTATGAT